AGCCTTAGGTATGTATAAAAGGTCTTAAAATATTATTTTGATTTAAAGTAATTGTTTTTTACGTTTAAAATATGATTTATTCTTAAAGCTTTTTTCATTACGCTACTTCAGTTTCTCATTCAGAAATTGTTATTAAATGCTGGATTAATGCTCAAGAAAGTTTGTATTACAACAGTTTTGCAAACACATTTTATACCATTTTAAATTGTGCATGCTATATAAGTGCACATACATTGTATACCTATAGTGTTTACATGGTCATAATACAGCAAGTAATACAACAAGCATTTAGTTTGGGCTAGCTTTTGCAGTTGAACATTCCTTTACAATACTCTTGATAGGTGAACATTAGTCCGTGGGGGAGTGTCTTTTTTTCTCTCCAGGTGTGAATTATTCATGATCATTGTCACTCCCATTGGGCTGTACAATTCATCAAAATTCAGTTTCAGTTTTGATTTGGGCTTCTAATGATTATGAAAAACATTATTCGAGATAAAACGATTATTGCGTCAAATACCGCCCCCTTTCCAGTTTTTCCTCTGCAAAGCTCGGTTTCACATGAACATTACTAAAAGCATGTACTGGAATGTAACTTTTGCAGCATGGGATGCGCATCATTCATTGATGTACATTCGAATCATTCATGTTTTAAAAAAATGCGGAAGAGATTGCATGCTGTTGTGTGTATGTGCTCAGCCTCAAAGACGAACAGAGCACACATATCTAAAGTTATCGTAATGTGAGCGCAATGCAAATTTGTGGCAAAACACTGTGTTTAGTGATTAGTCATATTAACCCTCATTTATGTAATAAACAAACAAGTTGAGAATCAAAAGACGTGTAAGTGAAACCATAAATCAGGGGTGCGTTTCTCAAACAACGACTTAACTCGCGGCCAAACTATCATAGTACGATGCATCATTTGGGAAAAGAACTATGTAGTGACAAGTGTTTCCCAAAACCCAAAAACATAATTTCTTTGTGCAAATTATATGCACACGCATTTAAAATAAAGTCCAATATTAGATTTGGTAAAAACATGCACTCGCTTTCCATATAATTAAAATAAATGTAAATGGCACATAAGGCCTACAGTATGTTTGCTGTACTAATGTTATTTAGAAGTTGAATATTACATATTCTATTGTAAAACCTAAAATCCCTTACAAAAGCTAACACATATTCTAATATCAAATATAAACCATATGAATAAATAATGAGGCTATTTACTATAAAAATGAAATGTAATATGTATTACTTATTAGAAATTAAAAAATCATACTTTAATAATAATATTAATGATGATGATAATGATAATATTTATAAAAATTATTATTATTATATTTATTATAATTATTAAATTATTATTGTAATTATTATAAGTAGGATATTGTTTATTTATTTTTTTATTTTTGAAAAGTCTACATTTTTAATTTGACACTTGTAAACCACTGTAAAAAAGTTCTAACCAGCAGGCCCATATCATATACAGTACAGATACTTAATAAATAGTAAAATTAAATATAGATTCCGCTTTTAAATAATAGGTCACCTATAGCTTTCGCCATAAGACTGTGTTCAAAATGACATCAATGTTTTCAAAGTGCACTGTGAAGGGAACACAATTGTAAACTTGAAGATTGCTACAACTGAACTGTAAAAATAGTTTGAAAGCAAATTACACCTATGAGAGATGCTTTTTAAATTTTTTTAATAATTTCAACTTTTAGGGCCCTATCATACACCCGGCGCAGTGTGGTGCAAGGCGTGACGCAGTAGTCTTTTGGTAGTTTACGCTTGGCGCAAGAGTCGTTTTGAGGTGTTTAAATAGCAAATGCATTAGCGCTCATTTTTGCGCCCATAGGCGTTCTGGTCTAAAAAGTAAGGCGTTCTGAGGCGGACCGCTGGCGCGTTGCTATTTTGAGAAACTATAATAGATTTTTCATTAGACCAAAACTAACCCGGTCTAAACTCCGGCGCAGAGTTGCACCTCGCTTACGCACTGCTTAATACGCACAAGAGAGCAATAGGCAAATATCTTTACATATGAAAAAATGTAAATATTAAGGATATATATAGTATATAATAAGAATAGATATAGGATATAAATATAAAGGATTAAAATATTACAAAACATATTATTTTCTAGCCTACATAAATATAAAAAACCACTGCTTTTATGTCTTCTTCATCTCGGGAGGCTTTTCAGTTCATTCATAACAATTTGCTTTTGTATAATGTTATTATTATTAGCAGTTTTATTTATTATATCCATATTTTTATTTGTTTTATTAAAAACAAGCTTAGATTTGCCCACCTGTCAGGTTTTAGACCATATGGGGCGCAGCATGTGTTTTAGGATATAACTCAGGTTTTTGAGCACATTTTGTTATTATTATTCATTTATTCGTTTGCTGGAAATTAGAACTGAATTTAGAAATAGCTTTAAAACGAATATTTGAGCTTAACAAACAAGAGTATTTATTTATAAACTAATTGATGTCTGTGCAGTAAAGGTTTCCCTATCCAAGAGCAAAAGTGAAAGTGATCCATTATCTCTCATTCTCACGCAGCAGATGCTCTGTTTAACAGTTTTCTGTTAAAAAAAACTGTCAACTGTTAACTGTTTGCTTGTGAAATGCTCATTTTTTCCACTTAGACTTACTTTGCGTCCTGTAAATAGTGAATGCGCTCTTGGCGCGACGCAGCTGACTCTTAAAGGGAATGGGAGATTAGACTAATTGGTTTATTCTTAAAACACACCTATAACTCATTAAGAAAATAAACTCAACCCTTTTAGACCATGCGCCGAAGCGAAAGGCAGATTTCCCGTCCTTAAATTAGCAAAAACGCATTCTGACACGCCCTGAAAGCATTTGCGCCCTGCGTTTTGCGTTTTGCGCATGAACCGTCAAAATAGAGCCCTTAATGTTATAATGTTGTAAATGAATAGGGCATAGGCTGGATAAGTGGGAATAGAACACAATCAGGAACTATGTTTCTAACTACAGCTCCAGACCTGTAGTTGCGAGTGCTCAAGTTTGCGACGCAGTTTGCAAATGTTCGTTGGAGCGACGGATTTGGGAAACGGCAAATTAACAAATTATGTTTGTAACAACAAGACTTGCGACCTTAGTTGGCTAACAATGGTTTTGGAAAACGCACCCCAGAAGGACACTGCTCTTAAAGTGCCAGTGCAGAATATTCCTGCTAGCGACTGTTTTTCTCACTATTAATCAAACAACAAAAGGACAAAAACACTCACTGCTCTTGACTGAAGGACTTTTGTAGCTATAATTTAAGTTTTGTTGTTACAGTGAAGAATGATGCTTAAAGCACAGTTTGTTTCATATTTTTATTCTATTGTATTTATTTCTCTTTCCTTACTTACATGGAGAAAAATAACTGTATATACAGTTAGAATTATTTGCGGCCCTTTATATTTTCCCCCCAATTTCTGTTAAACGAAAAGATGATTTTTTTCAACCCATTTCTAAAGATAATAGATTTAATAGTTCATTTCTAATAACTGATTTCTTTTATCTTTGCTATGATGACAGTACATCATGTTTTACTACATATTTTTCAAGATACAGTACAAACGTTCACCTTAAAGTGCAATTTAAAGACTTAATTAGGGTAATTGGGCAAGTATAACAGTAGTTTTTTTCTGCAGACAATCGAAAAAAATTACTTAATGGGGGTGATAATTTTGATCTTAAAATAGGTTTAAAACATTTTTCTTAAACTTTAGACTTTTTCCAGAAGAAAAAACATTATAAGAAATGCTGCGAAAAATTCCTTGCTCTGTTGAACATCATTTGGCAAATATATTTGTACAGGAGGGTGAATAATTTTGACTTCAACTGTATCGTTTTAAATAATCGTGATTATAATAATGACCAAAATAATCGTGATTATGATTTTTTCTATAATCGAGCAGCCCTACACACTCATGCATACAGCATACTGACCCAAAACAGACTTAACAAAATGTAAATCATTGTAATGTTTTCTTTGATTGAGAGAACAGATTAAGTTTGACATATTTGTAAAGTAAATATTCTAGCCTACAAGACTAGTTACTCAAAGTTCTGTTCAGGCCCATTCAAAGTGTTTTTTTAACCTTATTTTAGCTAAATTTTTTTCTCCAAAACCTATTAACCACGCATATTTTTTTTCTCTAAAAAACGCAAGCATGTATATAAATACTACTCGCATATTATTGTAGCACAGTTTGTGCTGAATAAAAAAATACATGTTGCCAATACTATGTAATACGCAGCTGAAATAAGCACAAATGTCAGGTTCTGTCAAAACATCTTAGGGGCCCCAAAATCACCTCATACCCCAGAGAGTTAATAAATGAGAATAGGAAGTTATGATTGTTTTATAAAATAACTGTTCGAGTCCAAACTAGTATACATACAATGTATATTTATTTATTTATTTATTTTTGTTGTCTTTATTTATCTTTATTTGTCACGTATTTCTTTCATAATAATATTTTTATATAAACATTTAAAAGTGACAGTTCTTTTTTGGTCATTTGGACCCAGGTATGGGTGGAATACCTTAATGTTTGATATCACTTTTTTTTTGATGGTCCCTTTGTTGAATTGAAGTTATATTGCATTTACAAGCCAACTAATTCTCATTAGATTAAAAGTAGGCTGTTAGGTTGGGGTTAGGATTAGTGTAAACTCACATGCACTTGCAAAGTTTCTTATAGTCAGTTAAATGTCTGTTGAAGGAGCAGTGTCAACAGATATTAAGCAGACAGTCTACTCATATTCAAATGGACCATCAAAATAAAGTGTTACATAACAATCTTTTAAATAATTCTTCTAAAATGTCTATGCCTTAATTACATGGTAATAACATGACAATAGCTTAATTATAACGTGGTAACTGTCAAAACTTTCACATTCACTCATTAATGACAAGAGTTAATGGTAGATGTTAAGTGTTAAATCCACAAATTTGTTTTGTGTTCCTAGATAACTTCTATGGCACGCCAAAGCCTCCTGCCGAACCCACGCCGATGCTGTTTAATGTGACGGACCAACTCTTGCCCGGTGCCCGACCTAGTGCAGAGGGGAAAAGGAAGAGAAATAAGTCCGTCAGTAACATGGAGAAGGACAGCATTGAGCCTCCAGAAGAGGAGGAGGAGGAGAGTCCTATCATCAACGGCAACGGCATCGCCATCACACCAGGTTATGACCAACCACTGGTTAATTATGGGTGTGGGGTTAATTAGAAGTGTGGGCTTAACACTCGTTACAACTTATTTTTAATGTAAGGTGTAACTCCAAGATGTGGTTTTGAATCATACTGAATCAATGAGGCTCTGTTTGAATATATCTACAGTTGAAGTCAGAATTATTAGCCCCCCTTTAATTTTTTTTTATTTTATATATATATATATATATATATATATATATATATATATTTCCCAAATGATGTTTAACAGAGCTAGTAAATTTTCACAGTATGTTTGATAATATTTTTTTCTTTTGGAGAAAGTCTTATTTGTTTTATTTCAGCTAGAATAAAAGCAGTTCTTTAATTTTTAAAAAAATATTTTAAGGTCAAAATTATTAGACCCTTTAAGCCATAAATTTTCAATAGTCTACAGAACAAACCATTGTTATACAATAATTTGCCTAATTACCCTAACCTGCCTAGTTAACCTAATTAATCTAGTTATGTAAATGTCACTTTAAGCTGTATGGAAGTGTCTTGAAAAATATCTAGTCAAATTTAATTTACTGTCATCATGGCAAAGAGAAAATTAATCAGTTATTAGAAAGGAGTTGCTAAAACTATTATGTTTAGAAATGTGTTGAAAAAATCTTCTTTCTGTTAAATAGAAATTGGGGAACAAAATAAGCGGGGGCTAATAATTCAGGGGAGCTAATAATATATTTAAGCACTTATAGTTTCTAATATAGTAATTCCTCTCATACTGCAACTGAAAAATTCAGTTTAATAGAAATTACATCAAATTAAAGAAAATATACAAAAATTTTGTAATCCTATAGTATTTTTATCTGAAATTAAAGCATAAAATATTAAATTAAATCTAAATTTAAACTGATAATCCTTAATAAAAACTGTAATAGCCACACAATGCTCATTTGTACTGTGTATTTAAAAAAAGATCAATATTTATACATTTTTATAATTGTATACTTTCAAGAAAACCCAAATATGAAAATGGCACACAGATGTGTTTATGTTAGCAATATGCTAATTCATTATTGGAACATGCTGACAGCATCAATAACCCTTACAAATAACATTCTTCATATTTGCGAATAAGCCAGCAATGTGCTTATTTGTTTTAGAAGTATGTTGGCGACATGTTAATTTGAGCTTGAAAGATTTTAGGAACGTGCTAACCCAGGGGTGTCAAACTCAATTCCTGGAGGGCCGAAGCCCTGCACAGTTTAGTTCCAACCCTGCTCCAACACACTTACCTGTAGGTTTCAAACAAGCCTGAAGGACTCAATTAGTTTGATCAGGTGTGTTTAATTAGGGTTGGAACTAAACTGTGCAGAGCTGCAGCTCTTTTGGAACTGAGTTTGACACCTGTGTGCTAACCCATGCTTACAAAACACTAGTAGATACTAGAAACATGCTAACAACTACTTATTCAGCAAAATAGCAAAATTTGTCATGTTTTAAACGTGTTAATTTGAGCTAGAAACATCTTAGGTAGCATGCTAATTCATGCTAGCAAAATGTTAGTTCATGCAGGGAACGTGATAGCAGCATGCAATTCATGCTAACAAAAACATGTTAAAAACATGCTAAATTGTGTTTCAAACATATACATTTAATGTTGGTGTTCTACTGACATGTTTATTTATGCTGCAAATATGATAGCTACATGTTATGAAAATGTCTATTTATACAAGAAATGTGTTAATTTTTTTAATGCTAATTCATGTGAACAATCTGTCAATTTGTCCTAGCAACATGCTAACAAATTGATAGCTCATGTTATCAAAGTTGTTTACAACATGATAATTCATGCTAGCAAAAATTATAGTTCATGTTAGGAACATGCTAGCAGCATACAGTTCATGCTAACATAATACATTTACATTTTAGAAACATGCTAAATTATGTTACAACAATGTACATCTAACAGTGTTAGCATCTTACTGAGATGTTTATTAATGCTAAATAATTATTTATTAATGCTAAATTATTGTTTATTAATGCTAATGCATTTTATGCTAGAAAATTGAAAGCTACATGTTAATTTATGTTAACAACATGCTAATTTGTGCTAGTAACTTGTTAGTTCATAAATGGTAGTTCATGTTATCAAAGTTGTTAACAACATGCTAAATAATACTAGTAACCCATTGAGATTTTAATTTATGCTAGAAACATGTTAACGTCATGATTAACATGTTAATGCTAACCCCTGAAAGAAACATGTTAACAACATGCTAATTTGTGTTTAAACTTACTAATAACATGGTAAATCTCGCAAGTTCCATGCTAACAGTATGCTAATTCTTGCTAGAAGCATACCAAAGCATGCTCAGTCATGTTCGAAACATGACAATTCGTGCTAACAATATGCTGACATGTTAGAAACATGTTAGCAGCATGTAAAGTAACGTTAACAACATGCTAACTCATGCAACTTTATCAACCCACATCAAAGTTTTGCATCTAGTTCATTTTGTTTTCCCTCACAGAATCAAGTGAACATGAGGACAAATCCACCGATGCCTCAGGAGATGTTCCCGTCCAGCCGTGCCCACCCGAGACCCCCACCCTCACAGCCACAGACGTTCCTGAGGAGGAAGGAGATGCTCCCAAATCCCCACAGGACTTGCAGGAGAATGATGATATGGGCTCTTTGCCAGACAACTGGGAGATGGCCTACACAGAGAAAGGAGAAGTTTACTTCATAGAGTGAGTGAAGTGCACTTCAAAGCACACTTCATAATGAAAGAGCTGCGAACATATGGAGCACTACCTGTTGCTGTGTCCTCTTTTGCAGATTGTTACGGATGTCTGAATTATTTATGTGTGCCGTATTGCGCTCACTCATTTTAATTCGGTTCAGTTTAAGGCGTTTTGCATTTTTTAAATGACTTTATGGATTGGCATGTAAAAATGTATTTACAATATTAACGTTATTCGTTCTTTTTAGGGGGTTTAATCAAAGTACTTGCCTCTAAAATTAATTTAAATTAATTTAAAATATAAAATCCCTAAATAGAAATATTTGATTAAAATATAACATATTATTGTTTTCATTTGCATAATTTCAATTATCATTCAGGTATTCTCACAGAATAAAGCCTGACAACTTATCAGCAGCCTAACACAAAGCACATGCCTTTCGTATACGATGGAAGGTTTATTAACCGACTAGATGTACATTATCCTGCTTATTACATGCATACTTGCCACAAAATTGATCTGAGCTGTAATAGTTTACCAGTCATTTTATTAAACAAAGCTTAAAAGTAACCTTCAGTACTTATTGTTCAGTTACAAGATGGTGCCAAACAGTCAAAATTAGCTGTGTGACAGATAATCATAAACATTTGTATATGAATATACTCACTAATGGTCAAGATGATTCGTATTACCTTGTTGAGCATCTGTTATTAGTTTCAGCGATTTGTTATCTGGGAATACCTTGGGATGTTTCTATTGACCCATCAGAATCAAGTAATCCAGAGCACTGTATAATAAAAAAAGTGAACAAACAAATACAATAACAATGACAGACAGCAAAACATACATTTATTAGAAGATATAGAAGAACAATTGCAAAAATGTATAATTAAAATCAGAATTTTTACAGATTTTAATACAGGCTTCCATTAAACTATTTGTGTCGAAAAAGAACTATGAATGACAGAAATTGTTTTTAATGTTCTTTAATGCTATTTTTGCTGAATTTTAAATTCACAATACAATTAGAACAGCCGTTTAAACATTTTTGTGTAAATAAATATTAAATTAGTTTAATTTTAACACTAGTATTACAGCGGAGGTCTTTTCCAATGTTTTTCATTTTTTATTGAATATCATTTTTAAAAAGCACATACAGTATATTTGGAAAGTATTCATAGAGCTTCATTTTTTCCAATTTTTTTTATTTTTTTTTTTACGTTACAGCCTTATTCCAAAATGGATTAAATTAATTTATTTCCTCAAAATTCTACACGCAATACTGCTTAATGACAATGTAAAAAAAATTTGATGCAAACTTTTTAAAAATAAAAAACATGTACATAAGTATTTCACATTTCATAATAGGGACTGCACAGAATTTTGAATTGTTGGCAGAAAACATAATCTTCAATTTTCAGTCGACAGAGAAAAACTGCCTGAAATTTAATAGAAAAAAAGCTCTCCATAGTCATCCATAGTCCCTCCCTAGTCACTGCACTATCTGAAGCAGCATTTACACAGAATTAGTAAAGTGCTGCACTGCGCTAATGAACCCATTCATTTCAATGGCTTGTGCCACACAAGGGAGGTTTGTTTCTGTGCTGACCAAAGAGCAATAGAACCGCAAAGTTTGCTCAAATAACACATTGACAGGACATTTATTTACAGTACACTTGTTCCTGCTGCTTGCCATAATGCTGCTGTGCTGTCATGGCAACAGTAAAATAATAATAACATTTCCTTGCATTTATATAGCGATTTTCAGGAAACTCAAAGCGCTTTACACAGTTTTAGGGGAATCTCCTCATCTGCCATCAGTGTGCAGCATCCAACTGGATGACGACGACGGCAGCCAAATTGCGCCAGACAACACATCAGCTGATTGGTGGAGAGGAGACAGAGTGATAGAGCAAATTATGTTATGGGGATGATTAGGAGGCCTTAATGGACAGAGGCCAGTGGGAAAATCAGGCCAGGATGCCGGGGTTAAACCCCTACTCTTTTTCGGAGGACATCCTAGGATTTTTAATGATCATAGAGAGTCTGGACCTCACTCTACGGGGGAATTAGGACCCACACAGACTGCAGGTTGAGTGCCCCCTGCTGGTCTCACTAACACCACTTCCAGCAGCAACCTAGCTTTCCTATGTGGTCTTCCATCCAGGTACTGACTGCTTAGCTTCAGTAAGCGACCCTGTGAGAGTTTCAGAGAGCTAGCTGCTTAAATGACACCTCTTGACTCGTTCACTATGAATAAAATGTGATTATTTTATTGCCTTGTGTTTATTAAAATCAGTATAAGCTAAGTTAAGTTCAATTTTAAAAGTCTTAAAAATTGCTTGATATTATGTAGTTGAATAATAAATAACTATTACAATGCATTTTGAGTTTCAACACAGAATTTTCCTTTCGGTGCATTCTTATGTCATAAAAAAACATTCACTCTGCAAAACTACATGCTACCACTTTGATTAGGAATGAACTAACACTGGATTTTGCTGAGCCTCATATGAACAAATCGCCATAAAACCGAATCTGCCAGAGCAACAGAAGGAAAAACAATCTCAAGACTCAGAGAATGATGTTTCCTTCCCTCGCATCAGTCCTTAATGAGAAACAAGGGACTTATTAAGAATATCGATTGTCATTGCGGTGACTGGAAAAACCCAACTGTGACTGAGGCCTTCTGGGATACATAATTGAGAATGCTTTACATTTGAAAGAGAGTCTTAGACCAACATTTGGCGCAAAGAGACGCTTCAGTTTCAGATAATGGTAGCTAAACTACAACACAATGTTTTTCTCTGTTCTTTTCAGTCACAATACCAAAACGACGTCATGGCTGGACCCTCGATTAGCGAAGAAAGCTAAACCTCCAGAGGAGTGTGAGGAAGATGGTGAGTGTGTTACTGTAACACAAGCGCGTGCGTGTGTGCTTTACACTGCACTCATGACCTCTGCTTGTATTTTTTCCCTCTGGAGATGTACGCATGAGAGATTGTTTTATGAATTCTGAAGGGGAGATCGTGTTTTGTAAGATGTCAGAACATATTCTGGTTTCGTAAAACATACAGAAGGACAAGTGCTGCTAGCTTATGATTACACATTGGGTTTCCAATGACAGAATGGATGAGATAAAAATGTCTCAGCTAGCACTGATGAATCGGTTTATTTATTTATCTGTTCATTTATTTGTTCAAGTTATTTGTTTGTTCAGTCATATAACCAGCCATCAGTCAGTCTAAACATACATCCTTTCTCCATGTTTTGGTGTTGATTTGTTTATTCATTCATTCACTTTAAATTAATACTTGTTGTTTTGCTTGATCAGTTGTTTGTCTGATCAGTCATATAGTGATGCATTCATCCGTCTGTCCATTAATTAGGGATTCATTCATTCATGCATACCTAAGTACATCTTTTCTTTATTTGTTTTTCATTCAGTCATCTTATAAATAGCTGTTCTTGATATTTTTGCTTGATTTTGATCGTTTGCTTGTTCTGTTGTCGAACTTTCTATTCATTTAGACATCTTTGTTTATTTACTTGTTTTTCATTCTTCCATTTCTTAAAAGCGTATCGTTCATTCTTTTGTTTGCTTACGTTTGATCATTTGTTTGTTTGTTCAGTCATCAGTCCATACAATCATCTAATCATCTACCCATAATCATTTGCCCTGACTCTATCCATCCATTCATAAATTTGTCTACCCTTCATACCCTTCATTAATTTATTCATTCATTCATTCATTCATTCATTCATTCATTCATTCATTCATTCAATCATTCAATCATTCATTCATTCATTCATTCATTCCCATACTTCTGTTCACATACCCATCCATACATCCATCTATGCATGTCCATCCACCCACCATTCATTCATTAAAACATTCATCAATGCACCCAAATGCATTAATTTACTCAATTATCTGTATTCATTTACCTAACCATCCTTTTCATCTGTCCCTTCATCCACCCACCAAACACTTATTTATTCATCAATCGATCCATCCATTTATCTGTTCATGCATGCATGGATCTGTTCATTCATTCATTCATCTGTCCATCCATACACTCATCATTCATTCATTCATTCATTCATTCATTCATTCATTCATCTGTCTATCCATACACTCATCATTTATTCATTCATCCATTTGCCAATCCATCCATACACTCACCATTCATTCATTCATTCATTCATTCATTCATTCATTCATTCATTCATCTGTCCATCCATACACTCACCATTCATTCGTTCATTTATTCATTCATTCATTCATTCATTCATTCATTCATTCATTCGCCTGTCCATCCATACACTCACCATTCATTCATTCATTCATTCATTCATTCATTCATTCATTCATTCATTCATTCATTCATTCATTCATTCATTCATCTGTCCATCCATACACTCACCATTCATTCGTTCATTTATTCATTCATTCATTCATTCATTCATTCATCCATTCGCCTGTCCATGCATACACTCACCATTCATTCATTCATTCATTCATTCATTCATTCATCTGTCCATCCATACACTCACCATTTATTCATTCATCTGTCCATCCAAATACTCACTATTCATTCATTCAATTATTCATTCATTCATTCATTCATTAATTCATTCGTTCATTCATTTATCCATTTATTTGTCCAGTTTGTGTAAGCTGCAATTTTCATTTGTTCATTCCCGCCTGAAATATTACCTGCTCTCTAAAAATAGAGCACCAGTTAGCATGACACATTCATTAGCATGCTCAAATACTGTGTTTTCTTTCTAGCCGCGCTGTTAAACACGCATGATGGTTCTACGTACCCAAATCTGCCGTCTTTGAAACCCTCTGTTGAATTAAAATGCAATTTAATGGGGCCAGAGAAATCAATATCTCTTTCCACAGGCCTTTTAATGCCTCTCTGTGACTTGACTACTAATAACCCTCTCCCTATTACAACATACATCTAGCTTTTGGCAAAAAAAAAAAAAAAAAAAAAAAAAGTAAGGTCATAAGCATCATCACGATTGATTTACATTGTGTTCAATAATATCTGCTGCTCTCCTGATCCACGTGTGCATCTTCAAAGTTCAGACATCTACATGATTCAGAATTAATTTTAGGTGTCTGTTAGCGTGTGATCACAGTTTCACCATTAATTCCCATCAAACCTTGATAAATGATGGACTGTACATGTCAACCTAGTTTTAGTTGGTAGTCACAACATTTAACACAACACTTGCCTGTTTTATTTTGCAAAAATGTGCCAGAATTTATATGGTGCTTGCTGATTATTATCTGTTAGTTGGTTTTGAGGACACTACTTTTAAAGGACTTTTAAGGTGAGATTCTGCAGGCTAAAACATAGCTTTTTTACCGTAAAATTTCAAAATATTTGCCTTTTATGAATAGTTTTTATGGTCTAAAACAGCCAAAATATAACTTAAATAGTTTTTGATACCCTTTATAAATGTGTCTCTGTAGAGTTTAGTTGACATGAAAATTTTTACACACTGCATTCTCAAAATGAGTCCACATTTTATCAACATTTACACACCAAACAGTATTATTAATATCTGTATTCTGTTTTTTTACTGAGGCAAATGTTCATACCTAATTCCCTCCATTATTTGCAACATTTTATTCTTTTTCTGGCTCTTCACAGTAATTTTCGAATTATGGAGTGATAAAAAAGATTCCCAAAATCCATTTTCCACTCAAAAATGAAACAAAAATCCTGAACTTGTCAGATTTTTGTGCATAAATATATTCAAATGAGTGCATGGTAAATACATGACGACCTTATATAAACATTTTAGAAAATTTCTATTGTAAAAAACAATTCTTAATGTAATCAAACAGATGGGTAAGTATGATGATAAATATTAGTCTTGCTCTATTCACCTGCAGTGTCTTGCCTTAAATATGCACCCTACACACACACACGCTGCTCATATTTACACTTGTGCACTCAATGCACTCAAATATACACTCGGTGAATGAAAGAGCCTGAACAAGAGACTTCTCCCATAGTTGCCATGGCAACTGCCGATGGACGACCATTGATTTAAGGAGGCTTGAAAACAGATATTTAAGGTGGTCTGGGTTATAGATGTTAAAAGCAGGAATAGTCTATAAATGTCATGCACGCGGACAATATGTATAATATTTTTTATATTCTGAGTACTGAATGTGGTGCATCAATAATCTCTTCAGGCATCTTTTAAAACAATTGAGCATTTTTATTTTGTAAATTAATTTATTATTTATAAAGTAAAATTTCAAATGTTTGATTTTTTTCACATTTCAAACCATAATTTTTATGTTTTATTGTTTTAATAATTCTGGTAATTATCTATTAATCCTTATTTAAAACAGTTATATTACTCTTGATTACTGTATATCTGTAAATGTACATTTATATGGGAAATATATAATTTATATTAGAATTAGAATTTGTAAAATTGGATTTTGTAAAAGTTTTTATTACTAGGTATTGTGTATTATTCTTTTTTTTCTGAATGTGGTATGTTATTAGTTATTTGTATAAAAGTTATCTGTGCAGTACTGAACATTTGATATATTGCTCATTTGTTTATAATTAGTTATTGCAATTAATAAACCAATTGTAACATGAATAATCTGAATAGATAAATAATACATGTAAATAATACACTGACAAAAGTGTTGTCTCCCATCCAAGTTTTAGGAGCAACAAATAATAATCTGACTTCTACTTGATAATTTGATATGAGAAGTGGCTTATATGAAAGGTAAAGGCCTCTAGATTATGCTTTTTTATCTAAATAAAATATGATCATGCCTTGATTTTTAATTATTTAATAAAAACTGTAATCTCTGACTTTGCCGAGACAAAAGTCTTGTCACTTGTCACTAGAATATACAGTCATGGTGCAATGGAAAAGGAATTGCTATTGGGTATGCAGGGCTTAATTTGTGCCGGAACATGCCGGATCTGGATCCTGCACCTCATTTTACAGATCCCCCTCCTCAACCGCCCTCCTCCCCCGCCCACTGTTCACTTTCACTTTCTTTTGCGACTCCTCAACCCTCTTCACCTTCCTCTCTGCCATCCAACGCCCCGCCTTACCCCTTCCGCACTTCACTTTTGTCTGCGACCACCATACTCTACCCTCTTCCCCTTTCGTATGTGACACCTACACATCCTCAGGTAACAGGCCGGATCCGTTAGCCTGATCTGTTCTGGGACCTCGCAATTTACAAATTGCACGCACTGCGTGTATGACTCTCATGAGCTTGGAGGACTGCATCCATACATCTCTGCAATGACTCAAATAATAAAGTCTTCTGCAATGGCAAAGAAAGCGTTTTTGCAGGACTCCCAGAGTTCAAGATTATTTAGATTCATCTTCAGTGCCACCTCCTTCATCTTACCCCAGATATGCTCAATAATGTTCATGTCTGGTGACTGGGCTGGCCAATCCTGGAGCACCTTCACCTGTGTCGCCCTCTCCTGTGGTTTGTAATGTAATGGGCAGCACAAATGTCTTGATACCTCAGGCTGTTGATGTTGCCATCCACTCTGCAGATCTCTTACACACCCCCATAGTGAATGTAACCCCAAACCATGATTTTTTCCAAACTTGACTGATTTCTGAGAGAAACTTTGGTCCATGCTGGTTCCAATAGGTCTTCTGCAGTATTTGTGATGATTGGGCAGTTCAACAGATGATTCATTGAAAAAATCTACCTTCTGCCACTTTTCCAAACGATCAACTAGAAGTCAAATTATTATTTGTTGCTCGTACAACTGGAATCGACTGGAAAATTCTTTTGCCAGGTAGTGTGTATATATAATAAGGAAAATGAATAAATTGTAAACTTACTAAAGAGTTTTCTAAATGTGAAATA